CCCCCCGGTGTCCCCCCACGTCCCCCCGGTGTGTCCCTCTCGTGTCACCTGGTATCCCCCCGAGTCCCCCCCGTCACCTCACGGCCACCCCGTGTTCCCCCCGTGTCCCTCCGTGCCTCAGTGTCCCCAAGGCGAGGGGGGCTCAGCTGGGGCCGTCAAGGGTTTAGGGGTCCCCGCTGCTCTTTGGGGGGATTCGGTGGTCTTGGGGGAGTGTTCTGCAGGGTCTGGGACCCACCCTGCCCCCCTTCGGGGGTTATCTCTGGAAATTCCTTCCTGATAAGACGGGCCGGGCAGGATTTAGGGGGGGAGCAGGAGGCGGTGGGAGCCTCTGGGGGGCGGAGGGGGAGCAGAGCGTGTCCCCTCCCGGGCGGCGCAGGTTTGGGGGGCTTGAGACCCTCCCGGTGGGGCTGGGCTGCTCAGAACTATGTGACCATCCCCGGTGGAATCTGGATGGATTTGGGAAAGAATGGTATTTGGGGACGGAAGGAAGGAAGGAAGGAAGGAAGGAAGGAAGGAAGGAAGGAAGGAAGGAAGGAAGGAAGGAAGGAAGGAAGCTCCCTCTAGGTCCCAACTCCAGAATCCCAAACCCGAGTGCTGACTTGCCCAGCGTGTGCCGCCCTCGTGCCGGGCAGGTCTGGGCTGGAGCCATCACCACACACACTGGCACCTGTCAGACCCACCTGCACACACCTGAACTCACCTCCATCTATCCATCCCATGCCTTTTTGGGATGTTTTCTCTATTTTGCTGCTGAGTTTGGCACTGGGGACAGGCCCTGGTGAGGCCTGGGGACAGGTCTGGGGACAGATCTGGGGCCAGATTTGGAGTGATGTGGCCAGAGTCCCACACTGTGATTTGGGGACAGGGGCTGGGACCAGGGGTTGGGGAACGTGGAGCTGGGGACAAAGACTGGGGGTCGGAAGCTGGGGACAGGGGCTTGGGACAGGGTTTGGGGTTTTTGGGCTGGAAACAGAGTTTGGGGACAAAAGTTTGGGCTGTGATTTGGGAACAGGGCTGGGGATGGAGGGCTGGGGTCAGGGCTTGTGGTCTCAGATCTGGGGACATGGGCTGAGGACACAGAGCGGGGGATGGGGACTGGGGTCCTGCCTTGAGGGACATGGGGGCTGGGGACACACCAAAGTATGGGGTCAGGGATTTGGGACATGCCATGGGACATAGTTTGGGGTCCTAGGATGGGGACATGGGCAGGGACAAAGATTGGAGGACGGGGGTTGGGGACATGGGCTGGGGGAATAGTTTGGGGTCACAGATTGGGGATGTGGTGCTGGAGACAGAGACTGGGGGACACAGGGTGGTGACATTGGTCTGGAGACCCAGAATGGGGGACAAGCTGGGGGCATGGGCTTGGGTCAGAGATTGGGGGCTGAGACTGGGGGATCCGGACTGGGGTTGGGGGGCCCAAACTGGGTGGATAGGACTTGGTGACATGGAGTCAGGGACTCAGACTGGGAGACCCAGGTGTGGGGACACGGTGGAGACAGGGCTGGGGACACTCCCTAGAGAGTGTCGGTGGGTGTCCTCCTCCGGGAGGGGGCGCGGACGGGGGTGGGGAGCACAGGGACCCGCATTTTGTGTAAGCCCACCCCCGCGTACTCTCCCGTCCCGACGCCGGCGGATCCCGGTGATCCGGCGGATCCCGGTGATCCCGCGGTTCCCATGTCCCGAAGGGGTTAAAGCTCCGGTCCCTCCCCCCCGTTCTCCTCCCCCGGCTCTGGGGTAAACCCGAGAACCAACCCGGGAACCAAACCGGGAACGCGCCCGGAACCCGCCCGGCCGCTCCGCCCGGCCCGGCCCGTCCTGCCCCGACCCGTCCGGCCGGTCCTGCCGGGGCCGCCGCCGCAGCCTCCCTGCCCCGAGCACGGCCTTCGGCCTCGTCCTGCTCAGCCTCCTCCAACCTGCTCCAGCCGTCCTCACCCTCCTGAGCCTCTTCAGCCTCTTCCAGCCGTCCTCAGCCGCCTCCAGTCGTCCTGGTCCTCCTCAGCCGAGGACCTTCTCCAACCCTCTTCCGAACTTGCACCAACCTCCTCATCCTCCTTCTAACCTTCTCCATCCTCTCTGCAGCCTCCTCATCCCCCTCAGCCTCCTCCAACCCTCCCCGACCTTCTTCATCCACTTTCCAACCTCTTTCCAAACTCCCTCCTATCTCCTTTCCCAACTTCCAACCTCCTCCCAGTCTTCTCCAGCTCCCTCATCCTCCAGCCGACCTCCTTTCCCAACTCCCGACCCCTTCCCAGGCTCTCTCCAGCCTCTCTTCCCACCTTCCCCTCCCAGATGTCGGTCTCCATCCCCCGGCAGCCGCCGCGGAGCAGCTCGGCCGTTCGGGGCCGCTCCTTCTCGTCGCGCTCCTTCACGGCCGGCCCGGCGCTGAGGATGAGCACGGCCCCGGCGCTCGGCCCCTACGGGGGGCTCCGCGGCGGCTCCGGGGGGCTCGGGGGGCCCTCGTGGGTGCCGGGGGCGGGCGGGGGGATCACGGCCGTCACCATCAACCGGAGTCTCCTGGCGCCGCTGGACGTGGCCGTGGATCCCGAGCTGCAGGAGCTGCGCCGGGAGGAGAAGGAGCAGATCAAGACCCTCAACGATAAATTCGCCGCCTTCATCGACAAGGTGGGGCTGGGGGGACCCCGAGGTGGGGTGGGACCACCCTGGGGACTGGCTTCTGGGATCTCCTGGGGCACCTGGGACATCTTGGGATACCTGGGGATGTTGAGACCCACCTTGGGATCTCCTGAACGTCTTTGGGGACTTCCTGTACTCTTAGGGACATTTAGTCCTTCTCTGGGACCCCCTGAGTCTCAGCTGGGACATCCTGAGCACCTTTGGGGACCTCCTGAGACCCCTGGGGACACTGAGAAGTCCTTCCGGGTACCCTTAAGGGACCTCCTGGATCAGCTGGGACCTTCTGAGCACGTTTGGGGACTTTCTGAGACCCTCAGAGACATTGACACCCCCTTGGGGACACCCTGACCCCCTCCTGAGTTCCCCAAGGACACGCAGACTCCAGCTCACCCCGGGACCCCAAATCTCCCCCCGGCCCCCTCCCTTCCACTCCATGCCCCCCTCCAGCCCAACCCATTCCCCTGGGGGTGATTTGGGGTAATTTTGGAGTTCTGACTCGCTTTCCCCCCCAAGGTGTGACTTGGGCGTGGAAGTGTTTTTGGGGTGATTTTGAGGTATGGGAGTGCCCCTGACCCTGCTTTCACCCAAGTGTGATTTTTGGGGTGTGGGGGGGATTTTGGGGGGATTTTGGTGTGCGGGTGTTATTTTGAGGTAATTTGGGAGTGTGGGGTGATTTTCAGGTGATTCTGGGGTGTGGGAGTGCTCCTGACCCCCTTTCCCCCAGGTGTGATTTGGGGGTGGAGGTGCTTCTGGGGTCATTTTGAGGTATGGGAGTGCTCCTGACCCCCTTTCCCCCGGGTGTGATTTTTGGGTGGAGGTGCTTCTGGGGTCATTTTGAGGTATGGGAGTGCCCCTGACCCTGCTTTCCCCCGGGTGTGATTTTGGCTGGGGGTGGAGGTGCTTCTGGGGTCATTTTGAGGTATGGGAGTGCTCCTGACCCCCTTTCCCCGAGATGTGATTTGGGGTGGAGGTGCTTCTGGGGTCATTTTGAGGTATGGGAGTGCCCCGACCCTGCTTTCCCCCAGGTGTTATTTTGGCTGTTTTTGGGGTGCTGTTCCCCGTCCGCAGGTGCGGTTCCTGGAGCAGCAGAACAAACTCCTGGAGACCAAGTGGGGGCTCCTGCGGGCGCAGCCCCCTCCCCGCAGCAGCCTGGGGGGGCTCCTCGAGGGCTACGCGGGGACCCTGCGGCGGCAGCTGGAGGGGCTCGGGCAGGAGCGGCAGCGGCTGCGCGCAGAGCTCGGCCACGTCCGGGGGCTCGTCGAGGAGTTCAAGGCCAAGTCAGTGTCCCCAAATGCCCCCCAAATCTCCCGGGTACCCCCATGTCTCCCCCGACCCCTCCACAGCCCCCCCAATGCCACCTTGTAGCCCCCCTGTGGCTGCTGATGCCGCCCAGGCCACGCCTGCAGCCTCCTGGAGGAATTCAAGGCCACTCTGTGTCCCCGAGTGTTCCCCCACACACCTCTGTGTCCCCATCCTGTGTGCCCTCATCCCCATGTCTCTTCATCCCCATGTCCCCTTGTCCCCATGGCCCTCGATGTCCCCAGCATGCCCCCGGCTCTCCCTGTATCCTCATGTCCCCACATCCCTGGTCCAAGTCCTCTCTATGTCCCCACTTCCTCCCATTGCCTTGTCCCTTTGTCCCCCTGTCCCCACCTCCCCATGTCCTCCCACTCCTTGTGTCCCCATGTTCCTGTGTCACCCATTCTCATATCCCTCCCTGTCCCAATGTCCCCATATACCCATGTCCCCCCTGTCACCACGTCCTCTCCCTACTGTCTCCATATCCCCGTCCCCATGTCCCACAGTTCCATATCTACATGTCACCCCATTCCCATGTCCCCATGTCACCCCACTCCCATGTCCCGCATCCCCCCAGCTCCCATCCCCATATTCCCCCTGTCCCCGTGTCCCCCATGCCCATTTCTCCATGTTCTCCTGTCCCCTTCCTTGTGTGCCCCTGCCCAGGTATGAGGAGGAGATCAACCACCGCACAGAGAAGGAGAACGAGTTTGTCCTGCTCAAAAAGGTGGGGAAACCCCGACACTGAGGGGGGGCCCCGACATGGGGGGAGTCCCTGAGACCAAGGGCCTGCTGGGGGGTCCCTGGGGTGCTGGGAACAGGGGGTGACAGCAGCATTCCCACAGGATGTGGATGAAGCCTACATGTCCAAGGTGGAGCTGGAATCACGCCTGGAGAGCCTCACGGACGAGATAAACTTCCTGCGGCAGCTCTACGAGGAGGTTTGGGCATGCCTGGGATTTGGGGTGCCTGGATTCGGGGGGTGCCCCCCTGCTGAAGCCATCCTGTGCACAGGAGCTGCAGGAGCTGCGGGCGCAGGTGTCGGACACGGCCGTGGTGGTGTCCATGGACAACAGCCGCCAGCTGGACATGGCCGGAGTCCTGGCGGACGTGCGGGCGCAGTACGAGGACATCGCTGGCCGCAGCCGTGCTGAGGCTGAAGGCCTCTACCAGGTCAAGGTCAGGAGAGCACCCCCTGCTGCTGCCCAAACCTTCCTCCTCCTCCTCTTCCTCCTCCTCCCTGTTCCCCAAACTTTCCTCCTCCTCCTCTTCCTCCTCCTCCCTGTTCCCCAAACCTTCTTCCTCCTTCTCGCTTACCCCGCAATCCTCCTCCTCTCTGCCTGCTCCCCAAACCTTCATCTTCCTCCTCTTTTCTCCTTAATCCTTTCTCCTCCTCTTCCTCCCCTTGACACTTTCTTCTCCTTCCTGCTCCCTAAAACTTCCTCCTCCTCTTCCACACCCTGAGCCTTCATCCTCCTTCCTGCCCCATCGTCTCTTCTTCCTAATTATCTTCTTCCCTGCCCTGAGCTCTCCTCCTTCTCCTCCTCCTCCTCCTCCTCCTCCTCCCAGCTTCTCAAGTCTTCATCCTCTTCCTTGCTCCCTGATCCTACTCCTAATTCCCAAGCCTTCATCCTCCTCCCTTCCTGCCCCATCCTCCTCCTCCCTGTGCCTCAATCCTTCTTCCTCCTTGTCTGCCTCCTCCCTACTCCCTGAACCTTCCTTCTCCTCCTTGCTGCATCTTCCTCCTCCTCCCTGCCCCATCCTCCTCCTTCTTCCTGCCTACCGAAACTTCCTTCTCTTCCTCCTCCTCCCTGCCCCAAATCCTTCCTCCTCCTCCTCTTCCTCCTCTTCATCCTCCTCATCTTCCTCCCTGCCCTGGAGGGAGCGGCTGCTGCGTGGGAGAAATTCTGGCTTGAAACCCAACCGGAGCTGCCACATCCCAGCCTGGAGCGTTGCCCCTGGCGTGGGCTCACCCCAGTGCCGGGGCGCCGTGGGGCAGGGAGGGGCCCCCATCTCCATTCCTGGTGCAGATCCCAGTGCCAGTACTTCCAGGCTCTTTCATCCCCCGTTTTGGGATGCTGGTGGAAAGTGGGGGGCCTCATCCCACTGGGATCCCAGATTCAAGCCCCACCAGACCTGTCACATCCCAAAGGGAGCTGCCACATCCCAGCTGGATCAGCCCTCCCAGCAGAACTGCATCCTGGCTCTTTCCTCTGAATTTTTGGGGTGCTGGTAGAAAAGTGAGGTTCCCCCCTCCCCATCCCACCAAGACTGACTCCAAACCAGACCCACGGCATCCCAGCTGGAGCATCCCTCCTGGCGTGGCCACATCCCAGCTCTTTCCTCCCTGGTATTGCTGTGCTGGGGAAGAGAGAGGTCCCTCCTCTCCATCCCCTGAGATCCCAGATCCCAGCTGGAACATCCTTCTTGATACAGGCAAATCCCAGCCCTTCCATCCCAAATTTTGGGGTGCTGGGGGAAAAGAGGGGTCCCCCCAGTCTCCATTCCTTCAAGATCCCAGTTCCAAACCCAGCTGAACCCCCCAAATTCCAACTGGAGCTATCACATCCCTGTCAGGGCATCCCTCCTGCCTCTACTGCATCCCAGCTCTTCCCTCCCAATTTTTGGGGTGCTGGTGAAAAAGGGGCTCTCCTATCTCCATCCCCCCAAGATCCCAGCCCCAAACCCAGCTGGACCTAAGGCATCCCACCCTAGACTGTCCCCCCAAGTTTGGCCACATCCCAGCTTTCTCCTACTGGTTTTGGGGCTCTGGTGGGTTTGGGGGGTGCCCCGCATTGCCACCCCTGTCTGGTGTGTCCAGTATGAAGAGCTGAAGACGGCGGCCGGGAAGCAGGGAGACGACCTGCGCCAGACCCGGAGCCAGATCCAGGAGCTGAACCGGCGGATCCAGCGGATCCAGGCAGAGATTGAAGCTCTGAAAAATCAGGTTCGGGGTCCATCTCGGAGGGAAATTTGGAAGCATGCTGCCTGTGCCTTCCCCACACATCCCCCAGCACCCCCTGGGAACCCCTACGCTGGATTCCTGAGGATCCCTTGGGATGTCATCTGGGAAACGGGAGGAGAGAGTGATGGCTCGGAGACGGGGGGATTTGGAGGGCTGGGAATACTGGTGGGAAGAGGGGGGTGAGGGATGGTGGCATATGAGGGATACTGGGGAGTGAGGAATGACAGGACATGGAATACTGGGACATGGGGACACTGAGGGGGCGAGGGATGTTGGGGTACTGGGGATTTTGGGTCACGGGGACACCAATCTGGGGGGATCCTGGGCTCAGTGTCCCGTCCTGCAGCGCTCTGGGCTGGAGGCGGCCGTGGCCGAGGCCGAGGAGCGCGGGGAGCTGGCACTGAGGGACGCCCGGGCCAAGCTGGCGGGGCTGGAGGGGGCCCTGACCCAGGCCAAGCAGGACCTGGCCCGGCAGCTCCGGGAATACCAGGAGCTCATGAATGTCAAGCTGGCCCTGGACATCGAGATCGTGACTTATAGGAAGCTGCTGGAGGGCGAGGAGAGCAGGTAGGAAGCCCCGATCCCAAATCCCAGATCCCATATCCCATAACCCACTGACATCCCACATCCCATAACCTCTGGGCATCCATATCTCACACCCGGTGTCCCATGCTCCACCCCGTATCCCATGGGCATCCCATTTGCCATGCCCTTCATCCTGGACACCGTGAACATCCCATGCTCCATGTCCTGCGAGGATCCCATATTCCACGGGCATCCCACGTTCCATACCCCATATCCCATGGCCATCCCATATCCCCATCCCATATCTCATGGACATTCCATATGCCATGGACATTCCATATCCCCCATCCCATATCCCATGGACATCCCATATCCCCATCCCATGCCCTGTGGGTATCCCATATCCCATGGACATCCCATATCCCCTATCCCACACCCTGTGGGTATCCCATATCCCATGGACATCCCATATCCTCCATCCCACACCCTGTGGGTATCCCATATCCCATGGACATTCCATGTCCCATGTCTCATATCCCATGAACGTCCCAAACCCTCCCCACTTGACCATGTGCTGTATTCCTTTCTCCCCAAAAAAATTCAGTTTGGGGGACCCCTCCAAATCCCATATCCCCTATCCCACACCCTGTGGGTATCCCATATCCCATGGACATTCCATGTCCCATGTCTCATATCCCATGAACGTCCCAAATCCCCCCTGCCCTTGACCGTGTGCCTTATTCCTCTCCCCCCCAAAAAACTGAGTTTGGGGGATCCCTCCAACCCCTAGCACTTCAGCCACGTCCCTTAAATGCCATCCCCCCCCCCAATCACTGCTCCTCTTTAGGGGAAAGTTTTGGGGGGACAGCCCCCCCCCATATTTCCCCCTATTCCATGTCCTTTATCCTCCACCCCATCACTGATCCTGTTTGGGGGACCCCCCCAAACCCCCCCAGGCTCGAGGCTGCTGTGCAGAACCTGAGCATCCACACCAAGCCTTCGGGGTACCTGGGTGAGTTTGGGGTGTCCCTGGAAGCCCCCGATTTTGGGTGCCCCCCCCATGTGCCCCTCCTCACAGCTGCTCCCTCTTCCCCACAGGTGGACTCGGGGGAGGTTTTGGGGGGGGATTTGTGGGGGGATTTGGGGGGGCCGTGGTCAGCTCGGGGTACTCGGTGCCGCCCCCGCCCCCCGAGAGCATGGCCCCCCTCAAATCCCGTGCCATCGTCATCAAGAAGATCGAGACCCGTGACGGGAAACTCGTGTCCGAGTCCTCTGACGTCCTGGAAAGCTGAACCCCCTTTCCTGGGGGACCCCCCTTCCTTGGCTCGGCCAGCTGAGTGAGCCCCCCTCTCTCCCTGAAGCCTGACCTGCTGAGCCCCCCTGGGCTGCACTTTCTGGGGTGTCCCCCGTGTCCACACAAACCGAACCCCCCCTTTCCCAGGGGGGTCCTCCATCTTCCCTGCCCTCCCAGGGTGTCCCCCTAAGTCCTGGCCAGGTGAACCCCCTTTCCTGAGAGGGGGTCCCCATGTCCAGCCAGCTGAGCCCTCCCCCTTTCCTGGCAGTCACTCTGGGTTTTGGGGGGTCTCTCATGTCCAGCCCAGCTGAACCCCCTTTTCTGAGGTGGGGGGAGGGTCCCCCATGTCCTGACATTCTGAGCCCCCCCAAGTCCCCTCTTTCCTGCCCGGGGGTCCCCCCCAAGTCCAGGCCACCTGAGCCCCCAGAGTCCCCTTTCCTGGGGGTTCCTGTCCATGTCCTGGGGGGATTTTAGCGGGGGTCCCCCTTGTCCAGGCCAGCTGAGCCCATTCCCTTCCTGGGGGGGTTCCCCCATTCCCCTGGGGGTCCCCCATGTCCTGACCTGCTGAGTCCCCCCTTGGTGTGCTCCCCCTCCATCCTGGCCCCCTTCCCTGGGGGTCCCCAGCTCCCGACAGGACACCAGGCACCCTCTGCTGACAACCTGAGCCAGTGCCAGTGCCAGTCTGCCCTGGGGGCTCCAACCCCCCCCGCTGTCCCCTCTCGGACTGGGGGGTGGGCACTGGGGGGTCTGGGCCTCCCCCGGGTGTTCCGCTTGCTGCTGGAATAAAACCTTGGAAATTCGGGAGTGTTGATAACTGGGGGGGAGGGTGTGTGGGAGGGCTCATCCCAGGCTGCCTGGGGTGTTTTGGGGTGCCAGGACGATCTTGGGGTGCTTGGATCAGTCTGGGTGTGGTGGGCTCCATCTCGGGATCCCTGGTGCTGTTTTGGGGTTCCTGAGTCTTTCTTGGGGGACTGGGACCAGTCTTGGTGTTCCCAGATCAGTTTTGGGGTCTCTGGGTCTGTTTGGGGGTCCTAGAATCTGTTTTAGAGTGCCAGGACCCATCTGTGGCTGCCAGGACCAATCTTGGGGTGCCCTGCTCCCTTCCTGGGGTGCCAGGACCAGTTTTGGGGTGCCCGGACCCATCCCAGGGTGCCAATACCTGTTTTGGGTTGCCTGGATCTCTCCCAGGTGCCCGAACCTATATTGGGGTGCCCGGGTCTGTGTCGGGGTGCCAGAACCCATCTGTGGGTGCCTGGCTTTGTTTTGGGGTACCAGGACTCATCCTGGGGCACCAGGGTCCCTCCTGGGGTGTCTGTGACCGTGCCAACGTGCCCAGGTCTGGTTTTGGGTGCCCGGCTGTGTTTTGGGGTGCCAGGACCCGTCCTGGGCTGTCAATACCCGTTTGGGGGTATGAGGGTCACTCCTGGGGCGTCGGGGCCCTTCCAGGGGTGCCAGGACTTGTTCTGGGACGGCAATCCCTGTTTTAGGGGTGCCTGACTCCTTTCTTGGAGCCCAGGCCAGTTTTAGGGTGCCCGGGCTGCCTGGGACTGTTTTGGCATACCAGGACCCATCCCAGTTTTGGGGTGCCAAGGTCCCTTCTGCGGCTCCAGGACCCATCTTGGAGGGTCTTTTTGGGGGTGGCCGGCTCCCTCAGGGGGTGCCAGGGCCCATCTCAGGGTGTCTGGGTCTGTTTTGGGGTTCCCAGATACCCTTTGGGGGGCCAGAACCAATTCCAGGGTCCCTGGGTCTGTTTGGGGGTACAAGCACCCACCCCAGAGCTCATTTTGGGGTGCCCGGGTGTGCTTTGGAATGCCAGGGTTTGTTTTGGTGTGCCAGGACCCCTTTTGGGACATCAGAGTCAATTTTGGGGTGCCTGGGTCCCTTCCTGGTCTCTCATCCAGGGGTACCAGGGTCTGTTTTGGGGTGCCCGTGTCCCTCCACGGGGGATTTGTGGGGCCCTTTTCTCTGAGGCTGCCACCGCACCCCAAAACCCCTGGCTGCCCTCGGGCCCCCCCATTTTGGAGCGGCAGGGAGGGGGGACAGCAGCCTAGTTTGGGGGTCCCGGCCCCCCCGGTTGGTTCGGGGGTGTCGGGGTGTTGCCCGCGGTGTTTGGGTTGGTGGGCACGGGGCATGGAGCCGTTTTGGGGGGCTCAGAGCCCACGGGGGGAAGGGGGACGCCCCCAAAATCGGCGCTGCCCGCGGACTTTGTTCCCCGTTAATCATTAACCCCACGGGGCCCGGGAGCGGGGTTTGGGGCTGGGAGCAGATTTGGGGGTCCCTCCATGGGTTGGGGGGCTGGGAGTGCCCGCAGGGTCTGGGGGCGTTGCAGGTTTTGGGGTGTCCCACCCCAGTTCCATCCGCGGGCCGGGGGGTGACGCCTGCTGCCCGTAATTAGTGCCAGCAGAGGGTTAATTAATTAATTCACTAATTAATTAAGGAGCTGGGGAGGCGCTGCAGCCCCGCAGCCCTCAGGGCACCCCAGGGGTTTTGGGGACCCTTCCCACATTTGCGGGGGGAGGGGAGGGGTGGTCCCAAACTGAGGGGGGGCTCCCTCAGAGCCACCGCGAGCCCCCCAAATCTGGGGAGTCCGAGGGCTGGGCCCTCGGGGGCCGCTGGGATTCGCGGGGGGCCCTGAGCTTTTGGGGTGAAGGGGGCTGCTGGCTCGCGGGGGGGCTGACACAGCCCCCCCTTAAAAACGGGGTGGGATCAGCGGTGCCCCCCCGGGAGGGTTAAACTGGGGTCACCTCCCTGCACCCCCTTCCTGCCCCCCATTTCAACTCCTCCCTGACCTTATATCCGTTGTTTTTTTTTTTTTTGGGGGGGGGGGGTCTCCCCGGGGGATCCCCCTGCTTTTTTGGGGGGGCGGGGCTGGCTTGAGGGCTCACAGGGTTCTTTGAGGCGCTTGAGGAGTTTGGGGACCCCCCCCGAGGTTTGCCCCGCAGAGCTCCCCCGGCCCTCCCGGCCCGGTGATTTTGGGGTTCGCGGACGCTGGAGGGCGGCAGAGGAGCGGGAATGGAGCCGCGGGGGAGGCGGGATTTGGGCCCCCCAATTTCGGGTGGGGTGAGTCGGGAATGGGGGGTTCCCCCCCCCGGGTCCGGCTCCACGGAGGATTTGGGGCGGGGGGGGGTCGAGGGGCTGTGGGGGGCGCGGCCGGGCGGTCGGTCTGGGGTCTCAGGGGCTTGGCTGGGGGGCTGTGGGGGGATCGGGGTGGTTCTGGAGGGGTTCAGCCCCACGGACCCTCCTGGTTGGAAACGGGGGGTCGCGGAGACCCCGCAGGGAAACTGAGGAAGGGATCGCTTGTGGGGGGAGCGGGAGCCCTCAAGCTCGGTGGCACCCCCCGGGATGTCACCCCGTGTCACCCTCAGTGCCATCTGGACTCCTGGGGTGGGAGAAGACCCCTCCCATAGCCCCCCAGTGCCAGCATCCCCGGCTCGCTTCGCCCCTTCCCACTCGGGGCACCCCGAATTGGGGCGGGGGCAGCCATGGGCGGGTCTCTGGGGCAGGGGGTCTCACCCCACCCCGCTGGGACACTGCGGGGGGACCTCGGGGATCCCGGGGCACCCACAGCGTCCTGGGGAGGGGCTTTAATCCCCCCATGACCCAAAGCTGCCAGCACTGGAGCTGCGGGTGCTGGTGGTGCCCGGGGAGGGAAACTGAGGCACGGGGACATCTCGGGGACCCCTCGCCCCCGCAGGATTTGACCCCGAAGCCACCCTGGGGGTTCATGCCCGGGACCTCGGGACCCCCCAGAGCTGGGGGGGGGGCAGGCTGAGACCTGAGCCAGCTCATCCCATGGGTGGGGCCGTGACTCACCCGCCTGGCTGGGACCCCTTTGAGGGCTCCCAGGTTTGGGGGGTCCCTGAGCCTTTTGGGGCATTGAGAGGGAGCTGGGAGAGGGGACCTGGACACTGGGGACCCTTTGGCTCCCTTTTGGGGGTCTTTGAGGGGTTTGGGGTGCTGGGGGAAATGGAGTCCTCCGGGGTCTGGGGCTGGGGTCGAGCTCAGGGCGTTTGGGTTTTCCCAGCTTTGGGGGGTCCCTGCTCCTTCTGGGGTCACCTGGGTTCCCCTTGGGATGGGGGGAGTGGAGTGAGGGGTTTGGGGGTGCCGAACTGTTGGGGGTGGTTCTGGGGCCTCATGGGGGTGATGGAGGAAGTGTGGGGGACCCTGTCCTTTGGGGGTCCCCCTGTGTCTGAGGATGAGGTCAGGCCCACGGGGCTCGGGGCTTTGTGCCTCGCCCAGATTTTTCTGCTGGGGAACCTGAACCCCCATTTCCACCACTGAGGGTCTGTCCAAGCTCAGACCCCCCCAAATCCACCTCCCGAATGGGCTCCTTACCCCAAACCCCACCACCTCCCCATGGGGGGATCCCCAAAATCTGGGGGCTCAGACAGACACTTCCTGCCCCCCAAATGTTCCTGGAGCAGAGAATCCTCAACCCCATCTCTGCCTTTGTGAGACCCCCCCAAGCTCAGCCCCCCACAGATGGACCCCCTGAATGGGCTCCTTACCCCAAACCCTCCTCCCCACGGGGGGGATCCCCAAAAATCCAGGGTGCTCAGGTGTGCACCTCCTCACATAGACGTGTCCAGGGTGTTTTGGGGGGGTCTCTGCCCCACAGCGGGGTATCCCTGCCCCGCATTGGGGGCTGGTCCCTTGGCTGCCACCCGGGTGGGGTTTTGGGGTGCAGTGACAAGCTGGGGCCTGTCGGGGCAATTAACTGCCGTAATTAGCGTCGGGAGGAGCCGCCCAAACTCTCGGTACTTTCACACGCACACCCCTGCACTCCTCCCCTCCCGGCACCCCAAACCTCCTCCCGCTCCCCCACAGCCCCCCGAGACCCTGCGCCCCCAGACCCAGCAGGTTTTGAGTCAGTGTTGCCTTTTGAGTTGGGGTGAGACATGGAGTGACCCCAGGAGCTGGGGAGCCCCCAGGAGCTGGGGGGGGGTGGCGTGGCTTGGGGTGTGGTCTCGTTTTTGGGCCCTGGTTGGGCTTTGGGGCACGTTCCGGCCCTTTAGAGGGTGTTGTGGATTTGGGATCCCAAGGATCTGGGGAGGGAGGGATGGATACAGGGATACCCTGGGGTGCAGCTCATCTCTTTCCCACCCCCAGGAATTTGGGGAGGGGATGAGGCTACCCCTGGGGGACATACTGGGTCCAACCCCCCCATCCCAATGGTTTTCCCTGAAAAACATGGGATCCCTCCCACCTTAAACATCCGCCCCGATCCTTTTAACCCTGAATTCACCCCATTTTCCTGTCCTTGTTTGCCCCCCATGTGGGAAACAACAGGGGGACCTGGTTGTCCTTTATTCCCAAGGGATATTCACGTGGATTCCCGTGGGACCCCCAGGGTCAGCCCTACCCCTGGCTGGGACCCACCCCCACCCTGTGACCCCAGAAGGGTCCCCAGCCCCTCACGGGGATCATGGGGGGCTGTCCAGTCCAAGTGGGTGCTCCTCCCTGGGGCTGCCTCCGCGGTGATCCCAATCCTCCTTCCCTGGGATCTGTTTCCCAGCGCTGGGGCTGAGATGAGCTTTCCCTGTGGCTGGGCATGGTGGGGGTGCCACCCCTGGGCAGTGGCACAGCAGGAGAGGTGACCCCAATGGCACCACAGCAGGCATGAGAGCCAGCCCGCCCCTGGGGGCTGTGACTCCTGGGATCGGGGGTGCCATGAGCTCCGGGCTGCCAGCTCTGCTCCCGCCAGGGATGCTGGGGCGCCCGGGGCTCTCGGCAGTCCCAGGGTGCCGCCCGTCTTCTGCAACACCTGCTTTGATCTGCCGGGAATCCATCTT